TTAGATCCCTGCCTAAGCATGGACTAAGGATGAGGAAAGGGCATTGTGAATGACAACAATAGCAATGTATTTAGCCCTGTGGCAGAAGGCACGAGGCAGGGGAAAAGGCATTGTCACGCATCTTTGTTGTGCATTTGAACCCAAACCTCTGCCCAAGGGTGGTAATTTCCCAGACTGTTCTGTGCTGATCATAATTGTCCCAGGAGTCTCTCCCTTGAATGGGGATCCACCTCAGCAAAGCAGTCCAGGTATTTTCATCTCAACCTGGTGCAGCTCCGTGTGGTTTTTCCAGCCCCACCTGGGAATGCCTTTGGTGTCGTGGCTGGCTGGTTAGTCCAGGGCATCCTGATATCAAATCGATGCCCCACCAGTCCTGACAGCCGCACGGGACACAAGCCGGCGCGACTATCTCCATTGAAATGAACATATGCACTTCTCAGCCCATCCTACTTTGCAGGGTTGTTGTGAGGGTAAAAAGAATGGGGGAGAAGAGGAATAGATTCCCCCTGCCCCCCGAGCTGCTGTGACCAAACAAGAGGATATATACATGGTTCTAGTGCCCACTCAGTTCACTAGAAGGCTTTGGGCAAGTCACTGCCTCTCACCCTAACCTACCCCACAGGGTTGTTGTGAATAAAATGGTGAGGGGGAGGACAATCATGTAGGCCGTAAAAGGGGAAAGGGCAGAACATCTGTGTAACAAATGAATTGCAAAAGGCAGGAAACAACAGATGTTCGCTGCTCCAAGGAATTGGGAGGGTATGTGGGAAGGGGGGCAGCCCCCTGGGGAAGCCCAAGTTCTAGATTCGCCCCCTTCTAGTCTGAGATTTTCCACCCCCTGCGGGGCAGTCTGGCTGATTTCCACCTCTTCATCCTGTCCCCTGAATTGCCCATCTTCCTGACGAGAGCCCTCCAAAAATCCTCAGAAATAAAGCCATTTTTAAAAGGCAGCCTCTCCAAACCCCCCCTAAGAGACAAGAAGGTTTTTCTGCTCGCGGGTCTCAAATGGAACCCTGTGGAAAGGAGGACAGAAAACTAGACGAGGACAAGAGATGCTCCCAAAGGACACGACAACCCTCGCAACAACTTGGATGCTCTTGTGCGATGCTGAAACAGGGCGGGGTGATTAGACGTGGCGAGAACCATTTGTTCTCAGACTGTGGGAGATACCCCATAACCTCATCCCCCCGACCTGCCATTAAGGGACAGTTCCATCATGCCTCACTGCTTATTCATGTCTCCTTATCACAACCCAGGCATTTCCCACCCCTTCCCCAGCGATGCTCTTCGGCATAATTTTTGCGGTTTCCGAGCTCCTGGCATGGGGGAAGGCATTTAGAAGAACAACACACCCTCCTCGCTCTGCATCCCACCCCCTGGGCTGCAGGGGGCCCTGCTGTTCTTGACACAAAGTTGAAAAGCGTTTGCAAACATGCAAAGAAAAGCCAGATAAATCGTGTCAAGAACGAACAAAACCCGGGCGCTGCCCTTGGAGTGATCCAGGCCACCAAAAGCCCGGTCCGAATGAAAGGTTTTCCAAGTTTTTTCCCATTAGTGGAAACCCGTGTGATGTCACAGTGCAATGCTGGACTCGGATCTGAGGAGATCTGGGTTTGAACCTCCATTTCAATGCACTCCCAAGGAATGGAGTGACTTTTGGCCAGTCACAGATGTTCAGCCCGGCCTACCTCACAGGGTTGTTGTGAAGATAAAATGGAGAGAGATGAGTGAGCCACTATGGGTTACTTACCACAGGAAGGAAGGGTAGGATCTAAAAGTAGCAAGTGTTTTTTTAAATTAGAAAAGTGAGCAGGCTTACTTAGCATTAACTCAGAAAGCCATGATGCTGCTGACCCAGGGATGCCTAAGGCAGAGGAAGCAGTAATTTAATTTAATTTAATTTAATTACAATATTTATATCCTGTCCTTTACAAAACGTCCCGGGACAGTTTACAGACCATAAATAATCAAACAATAAATAGTGATAACAAAATACAACATAATAAGCATAACAAAGCATAGCTGAGCATATGATGTTAAAACCAAGTTAAAATGTTTAAATATTGGGCAATATTGACGTCAAAAAGAATATTATGTCTTAACAGGAGGCAAGCTGTACGTAAGTAAGGAGGGGCCCAATTTTAGCGTGCACCGGAGGAAACTTGGTAGCCAAAAGGCAGTGCAGAATCCCCTTGCTTTTCTCTGCAAAAGGCTGCAGACTAGGCCACCGGCGTCTCTCGGAAGGCCTGCCAGAACTCCTGGAGGACTGCTGCTGCCAGCCCGTGCCGGCAGTACTGGCCATGATGGGGTGAGGGTGCTCTCCCATCAGCAGCCGTGCAACTTTTTTGACCCAGGCGGTCCGTGATAGGACTGGCTGGCACCAGACAACATTTTGCGCCAGCAGTGGCTTCTGGACCATCCCGAGGGAACCCGGCCTTCAGCCCAGTGCACCAGCCTTGCCTTCTGGATTCGCTGGGGCAGGCAAGATAATCTCCTTTGTGAACGTGTTTTTTCTTAGAACCTCCAGGTTTTACCTCCGCAGCCGAAGGCAAATGGGGTTCAGGGGCCAGAAGAGGTAGCTTGCTGCTTCCAGAAGACGTACCCGCTCCTCCTGAACCAAGTGCCCTGCCACTGTTCTGGACTACAGCTCCCAGTATCTTCAGCTGTGCTGGCTGCAGTTGATGGGCACCGGAGTCCCAAGGATCATCGGGGCAACCCACACAGTAACAGCTCTCTACGTCTGAGATCAGGAATCAGAGGTTAGAACGAAGGGGCCTATGAAGCCACGGCCTCCAACGCCCCTGCGCGGGGGTCTGGCGCTGAACTCTGACACTAATCGAGACCGAAGAGCTGCAGCTGGAGGCCAGTGCCCCTCGAAATCCTGCTCCACGTCCACCGGGAGACCCCGACCAGCCTGTGCGGGAGGACGAGATGCAGCCACATTCACTCCCGGACCGGGTCCAGGGCGTGGGGCTTCCACGATGACGGCACGAGCAAAGGCATTTTAATCAGGCTGCTCCGAGAGGCCCGTGGATGGATAAGGTAACGAGGCACGGTTGGGGCACAGGCATGACCCCACCCAGAGAGAGCCACTGAAATGAACTGGGGGGGAGTGGGGGGGACCCTCCCCATCGCACCAGCACAGCTGGGGCCGGCCAGGAGAGGTCTGTGTGGCTTCTCTAAATAACCGGCAGGGCCAAGCCCTACACAATGGTTGCAGGAGGCCGGGGGGGGGGGGGGGGGGCCCATTGCCAGCACCGCCCAGGCCTCTGCGTTTCGCTGGCAGGCGGCAGCACTCGCAGTAATTGCTTCAAGCCTCGTTCCTGCTTGCCCGCCCCCCCCCCATCGCCCAGGTCACCCCTCTTTCCCACGCAAAAGGAATTCCATCTATTTCCTCCATGCATCGAAGAGGGACCCACAGTTCCCTTTTCCACGTCTGCACCCCCGGCCTCCCACACCCTGCTTTGCCAGCGTGCCGTTCAGAGCTGGGCAGGCAGGAGAAACACCATAAGTGTGTGTGTGCGCGCGCGTGTGGTTGCGTGTAGGCACACCCAGTGCTTTTGTGATAGATTTCGAGTGCAGGCATTGATCGTAGCTATAAACTGGGAAAAAATTAAGAATGTAGACAGTTGCGGTGCTCCAGACCAACCAACCCGTTCCAGCAGATGCCTTATCAGCCAGGAGAGGCAGATAGGTTTTCATGGCTCGTCCACGGCCCCCAAATTCCTTGGAACAAGATATGGGAAGGTAGGTTCACACGCAACATGCCAAGCTTCACTGTGGCTGAACGTCCCCCATGTCCAGCAGACTTATGGGCACAGGAGGGGGGGATCGCCTCTCCCCTTGGACTTCCTGTGGGAACAGTGAGGGGAGCAGGTGCCCCCCAGGGCCAAAGCGTCCCATCGGCGGCTGTCATCCCGGCTCCTGCCAGCGCTTGTGAGCAATCCCAGTGTGCAGGGGGGAGCCGGGAACAGCCGTGCAAGGTGCTGCTTCCGCCCCTGGGGACGGTTCCCGGGTCGGCCCCTTGGCGGGAGCAAGTGCCCTTCTCCAGTCACAGCAAGGCAGCAGGATGGGGACTGAGCATCGTTGAAGGTCAGGGCTGCAGGTGCCACTCGGCCTTCCCTGCGCCCCTAAGCCACTTCTCCCCGAGGCGGGCAAAATGCCTCTCCATCCCATGGACGGATGCGGCCCTGGCAGCTTCCTGAAGCCGCTGCAAAGCATGGCAGGTGGTCAGCATGGCTTTCTTAGGGGTGGCCCCAGAAGTTCTGGACAACCACCCCTGCCTTCCTGCCCATGGGCTGGAGCTGCAGGAGGCCTGGCGGGGCCCAGGGTGCGAAGGCCGGGCTGCTACGCACAGCTCGGCCTTCCAAGGCTTCGCTCAGAGTCCTTCTGCCAGCATGTCCCATTAGCCTCAGCGCTGGACTCCACCACCCCTGCTCCTGCCCAACTCTCCCCAGTTCTGCAGAGAGAGAGAGAGAGAGAGAGACGCTGGGGAGGGGAGGGGCATGGCGCGGCGGGCGTGGCCACAAGCAAAGGGGCGGGGCACAAATAGCGCCTGTTTCCACTTATTTCAGCGGGTGGCCAAGCTTTAAAGGAGAAGAAAGCTTTCCTGCTTTTGGACCCAGAACGCTGGCCAGCCCCCACGCGCTCTGGGCGCCCGTGGCGCCCGGGGGACCCCTCGAGGGTCACATCTGGCACCCTCGGAGCAGAGCGAGGGCGTGTGGAGGGCCAGGCCCGCCGGGGCTCAATCCGCGCGGCAGCCGAGGAGTCGAAGGGCTGCTGGGCCGGGGTCTTGCGCGTCTGCTCCCGCTGCTCGCGCGCTCGCTCGCTGCCCTTCCCCTCGGGCTCCTCCTCGGCCCGCGCCCCGCGGACACACACCCCTCTCCCGTGGCAGGGGCTCAGCTCGCAGCCCTAGAAGGGAAGGGAGGCGTGGATCGGAGCAGGAGGAGGAGGGGACCGCGGCGCGCTCCTCCCCGCCCCAATCCATCCCACCCGGCTGGATGGGAAAGGGGACGGGAACGGGGGCCGCCGGCGGCTGTCAGAGCGCTGGACGTGAGCGGCGCAGTCGGGAAGAGGGAGGCGACGGCGGAGGCACCATGCGGCGGCTGCTGCCGGCGCTGCTGCTCCTGGCCTGGCCCCTGCCGGGGGGCTCGCAGGACCCCCAAGCCGTCTGCGCGCCCGACGGCTGCTTCGTCGCCTATCTCCAGCGGCGCACCTTCCTGGAGGCCTGGCACGGCTGCCGCGAGCTGGGGGGCAACCTGGCCACGCTCAAGCACGCCGAGGACGCGGCCCAGGTGGCGCAGCTGTTCCGGAGCGACGCCGCCGCCGCCAGCGAGCAGGCGCCGCGCCTCTTCTGGATCGGGCTGCACCGGCAGCCGCGCCAGTGCTTCCCGGCGCGCCCGCTGCGCGGCTTCACGTGGACCACGGGCGAGCAGGACACGGCCTACACCAACTGGGCGCGCGCGGCCGGCGCCGGCGGGGGCCCGGGCAGCGCCGGGTGCGCGGCGCCGCGCTGCGTGGTGCTGGACGCGCGCGACCTGCAGTGGCTGGACGGCGCGTGCACGGTGCCGGTGGACGGCTACCTGTGCCGCTTCGCCTTCCGCGGCATGTGCCCCGCGCTGGCGGACGAGCCGGGCGCCGCCGCCGTCAGCTACAGCACGCCCTTCGGCGCGGCGGGCGGCGCGCTGCGCTACGTCCCCTTCGGCTCGGTGGCGGCCGTGGCGTGCGGCGGCGCCGGGCCGGCCGTGTCGCTGCTGTGCCTGCGCGCCGAGGACGGCGCGGCCGCCTGGTCCAGGCAGGGCCCGCTGTGCGCCGAGGAGGCGGCGCGGCACAGCTGGTGCGAGGGCGACAACGGCGGCTGCCAGCAGCTGTGCCTGGACGAGGGCTCGGGCTACGCGTGCGAGTGCCACGCCGGCTACTTCCTGCTGCCCGACGGGCACTCGTGCTCGGCCGACGACGCCTGCCGCGGGCGGCCCTGCCAGTTCGGCTGCGCGGCGCACGAGGGCGGCTACCGGTGCCAGTGCCCCGCGGGCTTCGAGCTGGGCGCCGACGGGCACCGCTGCCTGGACGTGGACGAGTGCGCGCGGGAGGCGCCCTGCGAGCAGCAGTGCGAGAACACCGAGGGCTCCTTCGTGTGCCGCTGCCGCCTGGGCTTCAGCCCCTCGGACGAGGACGACGCGGGCCAGTGCGTGGACACGGACGAGTGCCGCATCGCGGGCGTGTGCCAGCAGATGTGCGTCAACTACGTGGGCGGCTTCGAGTGCTACTGCACCGAGGGCTACGAGCTGGAGCCCGACAGCATCAGCTGCCGCCCCGTCGCGCGCCCGCCCCCGCCCGCCACCCCCGGCGGCGCCCCGGACCCGGCCGCGGACCCCGGGCGGCTGACGGAGCACCGCGGACACAGCCTGGTCGCCTGGGACCGCCTCTCGCCGGCGCGGACGGCCCCGGAGCTCCTGCCGCCCTCCGCCCCGCCCACGGGCCCCCGCGGGACCCCCGAGCAGCTGGCCCGCAGCACGGCCGCCCCGGAGGCGAGCTCCCTCCCGCCGGAGGCCCTGAGCACGGCCTCGGACCCTCCCGCGGACCCCAGCCCTGCCCCACGGCTCTCCACCGAGCCCCCGAGCACCCCGGGCGGGAGAGAGGCCGGAGCGCCCCGGACCCCCTCTGCTCCCACCGCCGGCCCCCCGCCGCCCCCGACGGATTCCTCGGGCGGGGAGCAGGGCGCGGTGGTGGGGGGCGTCCGGGCGCTGCTCCCCACTCCGGCCCCCCCCAGCCTGGCCCCGGAGGAGGCGCTGGGGCGGCAGCGCAGGGACGACCGGTGGCTCCCGCTGGCCTTGGTGGTGCCGCTGTGCGTCCTCCTGGTGATCCTGCTGGCGCTGGGCATCGCCTGCTGTGCCCGCTGGGCGGCCCAGGCCAAGACGCGGAGCGTGACCCAGTGCTACCGGTGGGTGATCAGCTCGGCGGGCAAAGGCGCGCCCCCGCCCTCCCCCCGGCCCCGGCAGCCGGCCACGTGCCGGACCAGCGTCTGAGCCGCGGGGTGGCCCCACGCCTCAGGGCCCGGACGGCTGGCGGGGACGCGTGGGCCGCACGGACTTCTCCCCACGGTGGGGACCCCCCCGCACCGCACCGCACCGGGACGCTCTGCTGGGCGCCACGATCTGGCCGGGACGCAACGCTCCTCATCTCCTGCCAGGACAGAGACCTCATTTGGCTTTTGCAGGGGAACCTCCCCGCCCCCATCGCTGGGTGGGATGCACGGAACCCGGGCCAGGGCTGGGAAGGAGTCCAGATGGTCACCGGGACAAAGGGACCCTTTGCGGTGCTACAGCACAGAGCTCCTCCCTCTCTCGCGAGCCAGGGCAAGGCCCTGGGTGCAGCCGGGGCTTCTGGTGCTGCAAATTTCAGACTCTGTCGTTTCTTCAGTTCATGTGATCCGTGCTCTCCAAGGCCTCAGCCTGGGGTCCCTCCAGTCCCACCTGCAGACATCAGGGATCGAACTTGGACCTCTTTGCATGCAAAGTGGGGCTCCGCTGCTGAGATGTGGCCCTTTGGTCCCCTAAAATGAAGCCAAGATTCTAGTCCTCAGTGTTCTTAAGAAAAGGCTGATTGAATTAGGAATGCAGGAAGCTGCCAGGCCCTTCATCCAGCCGTTCTGTGCCCCCCAGGCTGGTTAGCATGTCGGAGGCAGAGGGGTCTTCTCTGCTAACCCTCGAGATGTCAAGATTTGAATCCGGGCCTTGCTGCTGGCACTGTGCACACAGTCGTGGGAGCCCTCGAGCGGCGCACAGCCTCCGCGCGCACAGGCATCGGCTGGCAGAGGGCAGCTCAGAAGCAAGCATCTGGAAGGCCGGGCCACCAAGCGCATCCCAACAGCCCCCCAGCCTGGTCCAGCTGTCCGAGGGGCTGGCGGGAGGAGGCCCTTTGGAGCAGCACATCTGGGGCAGCCTCCGCACAGCTGCTCTCCTCTGCACCACGACCCAGGACAAGACTTGACGCCCTTCTTTCTGGCTGGGCCCTTTCTGGAGCGGCGCGGCGAGGACGAGGCCCCGGCTGGGATGGGGCCTGCTCCGTGCGGGTGCCGCGTCCGTGCCCCTTCCGCAGGCAAGGACGATGCCCTGGGGGCAGCCCTCCGAGGAGACTGCAGCCAATGTGGGCATGTGACTTGGGTGACTCGTGCGTCCAAGGGAGTGGACTCCCCCCCCCCGCGCGCCTCTCCCCTCGTTGGGGAGCGTCTCTGCTTTTGCAAAGAGGTGGGAAGATGGGGAGATGTGGAAGGCGAGGCTGAGGTCATTGCTCATGTGCTTTCCTTTATGGGGACACTTATCTCCTGTTGTGTGTGCGTTTGTGTGGGTGCTTTTCCCTGTGGCTCAATAAAATGGACGGGTGCCTCCATCTGCAGAAGAATTTCCCACACATGATAGCGGGTGAAGAGAAGCGGACGGGAAGGGCTGGACTCCATATTTAGGGGTAAAGACGTTTGCATTGTGTGCCTGACAATCATCTAATCCGTGTTATCTGACCTGGATTAAGAGGGGAGAAACTACTGGAGGGAAGGGTTGGGGGTATCTGATTAGCTGAGGGAAGGGGAGAGACTGAACTTCTGGATTCCCAGGGCCTGATACCAGCCATTCCAGGTATTAATGAGGACTAGCAGGCTGAAGAATAAAGTGGAGGAGTGTGAAGGAAATTTGCCCATGCCTAGAGGTGGTCTTTCTATTGTTTTGCATGTTCCAGAGCTGATGGAACCAGACTAAAGTCTCAGAATGCTGAAAATATGCATGCAGAGTGTCCGAATCTCTGAAAATGGCCTGCAGGAATCTCTGAAAAAAAGATGAATTACCGAGAGGAGCTCTGCACCTGGTTCAGAGTCCTCAGTTCTGTTCCCTCCTCTGGATGCTTTTCGATTAAGCGGTAAGGACAGGTGTGACGGGCTGGGCTGTGGGGCAGGACTCCCTGTTTCATGTTGGGAGGAAGAGGAGCTTTGGAATGTATTCCTTCAAATCCCCTTGAGCCCTAACGCATCGTGGAGGGAGCTTGGGAGCCAGTGAAAGAGTGTGGGCATTTAGGGGATGGGGTTGGGTGGAGTTGCTTGGAAAATGCCCCCGGAGACAAATACTGCTGGGGAAATGTTTGCATCTCTCAGGCAGCCCCTAGAATTTCGAGATAATTAAAGATTAACAGTTCTAAAGAAATTAGAATGAAATCCCCCCCCCCCACCTTGGAACCTTGCCCTGCAGTGCCATCTTTAGCCCCAGCTGCAGATAAAGGGGCTTTTGGGGGCCGTAACCTTCCAATTACCAGCATCAGCTCTCAGCTCTCCTTTCTCCAGGCTGCCAAGTGGGTGTTTAGGAACTGAATAATCATGGAACTGCATTCCATGACAGAGTTTATACTATGCTACATTTACAGGAAAGGGGTGTTAGCTTGCTCTAAACTTGGTGCTTTGCATATCTCGTGTCCACGGGAAGTCCTCTGGAAATCAGTTTTTGCAGGGTTCGGCTTGTTTGAAATGCTGGAGCTAAAACCTGCAGAGAAATTGTACATTTTGTACTAAGAAATTAGCTCTCTTCTAATCCCAGACCTCACCTGCATTCGGACAACACAATAAGCTTGACTGTGGGTTGTCACTGAAATGTGAGTTCATTGTGTTGTCCGAACCCAGCTGAGATGATAGATGATAGATGGTAAGCAACCCATGGTACACAACCTAACAACAAACCAAAGGTTCTCTTCCGGTGGTTGTTATAGTGTGTGTGTTGGTGAACAGCAAACCATGGTTTGTCGAGCGCTCGGGTTCAGGCCAAAAGAAAACCCACATTTCAAGAACAACCCACACTGAACCCTTGCGTGTGAGTTATGCTGTCTAAACTCAGCCGCACTAACAAACCATGGCTTGTTAACCACGGACAACCCATGAAGAGAACCTGCTGTTTGTTGCTGGGCTGCACATTTCGGCTGCTCTTCTCAGCTGGGTTACAGACATGCGGGAGGTTTTTGTGTGCCCCACCGTGTAGCCCAGGACTAAAACCAGGCCACGGAAACAAGGGGTGCTGGGGACCAGGGTGGGAGCAGTCTTGTGGGGAAAGGTGACTGCAGTGAGCTAACGACATGCAAGGCCAGCCCCCCCACCCTTTTAATATTCCCTTTCTTTGGGCCTGCGTGACTCAGTCCAAACATCTCTGGCTGGAGTTCCCATTTCATGGGTGTGGTGACTGCACGGGCTGGGGAGGGGGAGGCGGTGGGGCACCCCGGCAAAATCCAAAAAGTTAACCCTTTGCAGCCCTAGAAGGAGAACGTCCCCGTGAAGCGGGGACCCCGTTGCTGGCCCTTCATGAAACCGGGGTGCAGAGTATCACCCGAACATCCAGCTTGCAAGAACTGGCAAGGGGGCCAGGCGCTGCTTTCCCAGCCTCTCCAGTCAACCCCTGTGCTTTTTTCTCTCTCGGAAGTTGAAATATTTTTTTAAAGAAACCTGAGTTGTGGTTGGAGGTTAAGAGTCTGCGTTTCTGGGCTGTTCTCCTCTGCATTTACCCCCGTCCCCCTTCTGAACCCCCTCTTCTCTGGAAGATTCAGGACTGGTGCTAAGGCAGGCAGAGGAAGATAAGGGGAGAGTGGGGCATTTCTCTCCCCGGGGGAACGGGGGTGGAGGGGGAGCAGGGGGCACCGGGCAGGAATCTGCTGACGCTGCGCATGGCCCACCAGGGGTTAATCGCAGGCTCTGGAATTTGCGGTCTTCCTGGCGACGTTTAATGAGGAACAGATGGGGCGGCCTGTGCCGGGCCCCCTCCCCACACAGTCCCGGTGCCCCCAGCAGATCAGCCTGCAGACTCAACGCCAAGAGGGTCCACCTCGGGTTGCTTTCCCTGCTCTCCAGCAGCTGTGTGCCAGGCAGAAATGCCACAGGGAGAGAGCCCTCCACTGCTGCTGCAGCTGCTGACTCGGGGTGCGGGCTCCCAAGGCTGGTCTTCTTGGGGTCCCGGAAGGTCCTTAGGGATTTCCTAGATTTTTTTCCCCAGGCGTCTTCCCCCAGGTTTTGCGCGGTTCTGAAAGGAGGAAATCCATGAAGGGTTTCTCAGCTGGCGCGAAGGGGTTTCAGACCAAAGGGCTGGTATTTGGGGCCATGCCTCCCTGTCTTTGGCCCTGCCCGTCTCCCCCTCAGCCCCACCCACTGGAGGGTATGGCCCCAAGGTAGAGCTTGGACCTGGGGCTGGCAGTGGTCCTGCACCCTGTGTTGTAGGCTTAGCTAGTCAGAATGACCCACTTTTCAGGAAAACGGGTCCTTTCCCATCGTTGACCTCCCATCCTTTCTAACTGGAGGCACAGCAGTGGCAGTACAAGTTGAATCTGGGAATGTCTGTATCCAAGCACTTCCTCTAGCACTGAACTAAAGACAGCGTAAGATTCTAGTCCTCGTGGCTCAAAATCAAGGCCTAATTTAAATAAGAATATGGGCCCTCCGCCCCTCCAGCTCAAGATTCTCCTCACTATCTGGCAGAGTTTCAGTCCCCGAAAAGACTTTCCTTCCTTGGAAGTCACGGGCCACAACCTTCTCACTAGATATGGTGTTTTTATTTAAATGCTAGCCATGAATTCGATAGGCGCCTCTAGCCATGTAAAGAGTGCATATGAAGATGGTATGCAGATTGCTGTCCTGTTCTGTCCTGCCTTTTGGAGATGGTGATGGGACACCAGGGGGACTGGAAACGTTCTGGGTTTTTGCAGCTGCAACTAACCCCCCCCAACACACACACACACACACACACACACACACACACACACAAATGGAGACACAATTGAGACCGGGGGTGTCCCTCCGCTCTGCCCCAATTTGGGGGAGCTGATTCCTGCATGGAGAGTGCCGGCCCCCTGCCCCCTCCCCTTTTTCCTGAAACTGGAGAACGCATTAAAAGCCGCTCGGCGTTCCTGGCGTGGTGCGCCATCCGGCCCACACACAGGCAGCGCGATCCAGGAAGCTGGGAGGGTGGGCCAGGCCTGGGAACCAGGACACCCAGGTTTCCTTATCAGGGCCTAGCCAGCAGCGGGAAGGCCTAGTGGTTGGAGGAACATGTGTCAGACATGGCGTCACTAGGTTTCCTCCCCAAATTGAGGATGAGGATGATGATGAGGAGGAGGAGGAGGAGGAGGAGAAAAGAGAGTTGAAGGACAGGAGTCAGCAAATGGTGCCCCTGTGGCCGTTTGAGCACAATTTCCTATCGATTCTGCTACTATTAGCAGCCTGTCTTGCTGTTGCACTGAGGGAGATGAGAGAGAAATGACGGGGAAGTGGGGCCCTGCTGAAAGACTCTAATTTTTTCCTCTACCCTCCCCATTCCTTTTTCCTCATGTGCCGTGTCTTTGTAGATTTCAAACCCACAAGCCTGGACTAACTGATTCTTTTGTAAGAATTGGTTGCCGGGCGGGAGGGGATTGGGGGCTGAAGAGCAGCATAGAAATGCGTCAGATAAATAAAATGAACAAAATTGCCCATTGGCTGAGCTTGCCGGGGTTCGGGGAATTGTAGGCCTGAACAGCTGGAAAGATGCAAGCCGTCCACCCCTGGTGCCATGCTTTGCAGAACTGCCAACCCATTCCTCCTCCTGGCAGGCTTTTAGGATTCCACGATGGCAGAACTTCAACAGGTGTGGTTTACCTCCGCTGTGCAAGGTTGCCCACTGACCCACCATCGTCCAGCTGCTGTGCCTGGAAGAGCATCCGGCTTTCAGAAGCCAGCCCGTGGCAGGAGCTCAGGGGGCTGCTAAAGGCAGACGGAGAGGGGCCTGCGCGCCCGGGCGGTGGCGAGGCCTAGCGGTTAGAGCATCGCGCGGCCAGGGAGGTTCCAGCCTGGGCTGGCCCCCCGGGTCTCTCCCTCTCCAGCCGGGGTGGAGGCAGCTGCAGGCCACCCTGGCTGGCCTGGCCGCCCTCTCTGGCCCAGGGCCGGGGCGAGGTCGGGAGCAAGAAGCCGCTTTCTGCTGCGGGCGGACGGACGGACGTGCTGTTGTTGTTACGGAGCGGGTGGGATGAGGTCTGGGGAGCTCAGCCCGAGACACAGCTGGCCTGGTTTGTGTCTGGTCTCTCTCCCAGCGCTGCCTCGCCCCCCCTTTCAGTGCAAGCCTCATCAGCCCTCCATTCCGCGGAGCTCAGGCCGTTGGGGAACAGGCGGAGGTTGTGGGCAGACGCAGAAAACGTGGCAAAGAGCTTCCAGCATTGCATGGTATATCCTCACTTTTGGCCTCTTGCAAGAAACTGCAGGTGACTCCCATGGAGCTGCCGGCTCCCCTTCATTTTATCCTCACAACAACCCTGTGGGGTAGGACAGGCTGAGAGCAGCGAGCAGCTGAAGAGCAGCCCGTGAGCATGGCATGCTGGGGATTTGAACCCGGGTCTCATTTTAGAATGAGACTCTAATTACTGTGCCTCGCGGCCGTCAGGGTCTCTGGGGTGCTGTTGGACGGCCAGAAGCAGAATGCCCTCCTTGAAGAGCTACAAAACTGCTGCAGGACAGGCATGCGTCCAACAGGGGCAGCTGTGCACGCCCCTTCTGGGCTGGGGCTGTACCAGCTGCATCCTGCCAGCCTTACCAAGGACCGGGGGGCTGTGCCCAAAAGCCCGGGGAAGGGGATGGGGATGGGGACGCGGGGAGGGAATCCTGCCGCTTAACGGTTAAACAGAAAAGCGACCCGGGTCTATTTGGCAACTTGAGGGGGGTCCAAGAAGGGAGGACGCAAGGCGGCTGGGCCAGTTCTCTCTCTGGCGGTCTCCGTGGGCAGTGGCACGGGGGGGCTTATCTCTCCCCTGCTCAGAGCAGAGGAGGGGGTGGTCTTGGCGGCGGGAGTCCAGGACTCCTGGGTCCTTTCCAGCCTTGGTCCTGTGGAAATCATTTCCCCCCAGCCAGCAGGAGATGAGCAACCTGG